CCTCACCAGTGCAACTGGTATCCAAAGCAGCCCACCCACCAAGCACTGTAATTCCATGGATTCCCCCCATTTACTGATGCCTTTTTCCCAGCTGAGAGCAGGGATTCATGGCTGGCAGCAGGCGCCGAGCTGTCAGCCCTGGAGACTGCGAGCTTGGCAGCTCAGCTGATGTGTCTGAGCCCAGGCTCTGGAACACAGCCCTTAGCAATAAAAGGTTTCTCTCCAGTCCCCCATTTCCTTGCATTTCCCAAGCAGAGGCAATTTCCACAGCAAATACAAACACATTTGCAGCAGAGGTTCCTTGAGGAAAGGAAAACAAACCCAAACCAAAACTAACACATTTTCAAATCCTCTCAAGTGACACTTGTGTGCAGGAGCAGAGCCTTTCCCTCCTCTCCTGCCCGAGTCCAGCCCACGCTGGGCTTTGCCAGCAGTTGGAGCTGTCACAGACTCTCTGACGGGGTTGAAGGTGCAACACTTACCTTAAATTTGGTGGGGTGGTTGTCTGGGATGCTGTCTGTGCACAGACAACTGCAGCAGCTCCCCATGACGCCAGCCAAAGGGGCAATCCCTGGGGAGAGGGCACAGACCACAGCACAGTCAGTCCAACCCTCCCACCCGCTCCAGACACGCAGCATTTACAGCTGTGTCCTCCTCCATCCCACTGGGTTTGGAGCTGAAACTCTTCAATCTGTTCCTTGATTAATGAGCACTGTAAATATAACACTAATTAAAAGCAACGGCTTTCTTACCATCAGGCAACTGTTGGATTTTTTCAGAGGAGTGAGAAGGAATTCCCACTGCTGTCCCTCTGTCTCCCTCGGGACTTCATGGTCACCAGGTTTCACCTAAAACACGAGGGAAACGGTCCCATCTTCCACCTGACAAGGAGAACACAATTAAATAAATGATAAAACCAGGAAAGACTAAAAAGCAGGGTATGGGGGTAGGGGTGTGACTAAAGTCCCCTTCAAATATCACAAGGAAGGGAGATGTTGGTTTGTTTTTTTTTTAATTAACTACCTGCATTTATATCAATAGAGAAAATTCTGCACAAAAACACGTAATGAACAGCTAAAAAAGCAATTAAATAAGAGATATTTTACTTCTTGCCTTTGGGATCCTGCAGGAGTGGGGCAAATAAAACACAACAGTAAAACTGAGGGTGGTGAGGACACAGGGAACCACAGGCAGCTGCTGCTGAGGAATGTGAAGGTGCCTTCACTGGAGGGAAGGTCCTTCAGGGTCAGAGAACCAGCAGCTGCTCTACTTTGGAGTATGAAAAGTAACTAATGCCAGAAAACACTAAAACTCTGATATCTGACACCATCAGTGCAGGTATCAAACAGGCAGGAGTTGTGTGCATTAGCAGTGAGAAATACTCCTGGCTTTCTCACCAGTAGTGAGAAATATGAAATACTGCTATCTCTGATGGAAACTTAAGGGATTCCAGATCCATCCCAGGGCAGGGACTCTGGAAACTTGAAGGACTCCATGGGATGATGCCATGTTTGCCCTTGGTGAGAGCAGCTCATGGTCCCTCCATCTGAGCCCCCAGGATCACCAGCCTGGCACCAGAGCAGTAAATGAAAGGCACAGGCCATTGGGAACCTCTCCCCCTGCCATGCCAGAATCTGTCCCCTCTTTCTTCTTTATCCTCTCTCCCTCTGGTGTTTCCTCCACCTGCAGCTGTGAGGGGTCAGGCTGAAGTGCTGTGGCTTATCCTGAGCAGTTTTTATGGTGAGAACTGAACAAATGAGGAAAAAAAACAACATTGTGAGCTCCCTGAACACTCCCTTGGCGCTTCCCACTGCTCCTCAGTGGTGAATATTTCAGGAGCATCCCTTTCACACAGAGACTGGGGCTCCCAAGCCTCAGCACTTCCAACACACCTTTCCAACACCTGTTTGCCAGTTCAGAGCCTCAGCCAGTCAAAGCAAACACTCCAAGAGCCCAGCACGCTTCCCTGCAGCAGGAGTGTGTCCCTCCTAAGACCACCAGCCCCATCCAGCCTCCCACCTTCCAGGATCCAAACCTAAATCGTCCTCAGACCTCCACAGCCCTGCCTGGCCTCCTCTCAAGAGCACAGCTCACCTCTCCCGAATTCCCAGCCAGGTTGTTCCTCTCCTCCCAAACCCCCCCAGCCTGCAGAAGCCCCTCGTGCCTTCACCCTCCTCCAAGCCCTTCTCTTAAACCCAGGACTGGAGAAGGGAGTCCCCACGATCCCAAAGGACCAGGGCACCCCGACCTCCCCCTGCCCAGGGATGCCTTGTGTGTCCCAAACCAACCCCCTGGGACAGGCAGGGACAGACCCACCGCCCTCCTGGAAGGGACGAGGGAACAGGGGGGCACGGGCAAGGAGAAGGGGCTGGAGGGAGGAGGAGAGGGATGGGGGGTGAGGAAAGGGATGGTGAGAGGTGGAAGGAGATGGAGAGAGGTGGAAAGGGCTGCAGGGACGGGGAAGGGGCTGCACGGAGGAGGACAGGGATGGTGGAAGGGGATGGAGGGGTGAGGAAGGGGAGGGAGGGTGAGGAAGGGGATGGAGGGAGGAGGACGGGCCTGCACAGCCCGTGGGAACGGGGGGCCTGAGGAAGGGGCGAGTCCCGGGGCAGAGGGTGCGGAGGGGCCACGAGGGGACCCGGGGGGCACGAGGGGAGGGGACGGCGGGCGATGCCCGGTCGGTACCTGAGGCGCTGCCCGGCTCCGCCATCCGGGAGCTGCGGCCCGGGGCCCCCTTGCC